TGTGTATTTAACTCGAATTTTGCTACAGTAGGCTCTGTTCTTAACTGTAACATGCAGGTTAATCTGTAACCTGGGTGTCCTTAATCCAGAGACTACCTGTATTGTGCAACAATCAAAGAATCTACTAGTAATTCCTTTGGAGAAAATCTTGCACTTGAAGTTATGATGATCTGTTCATTGATCAGACATCTTCATGGGAAGTAGAGTTTTATAGGTTATCTAATACCTTAAATTACTGCAGCTGATACCAAGCGCAAAGTGGAGGAAATTTCTGAAGAGCTGAAGACTCTAGATACGCAGCTGTGGACTGAGCAAGATGTCAGCCCTGCTACTCAGGATTCCAATGGAAATGGTAAGCTACCCTTACCTTTCCCTAACTGGGGCCCCCCACATTTCCCATCAGCCCTAGCACAGTCAGTGTGATGTTATTTAGAATATCTGGGGGGCACTAGATTGGGAATGCTAAATCAGACTCACAAAAGTGTCACCGAAATTAGTTAACATAGATGGTTTCAAGTGCCAAATTCTGTCTAGAATGGCAATGATTTATACATGTAGATAGAGATAGCGTAAACAAGAATACCAACATCATACACAAATTCATAATGAAGAGTTTTATTTTTAAGGGATTCCCAGAGAACAGTGATTTCCGTAGTCCCTTAAGGCTCTCTGGATATAGGAGAGAGAAATAAGGACACAACTTGGTTCTTCTTGATTATATGTAAACAACAACCAAAGCTTAAAAAAACCAACATGGTGGCCTCCCACATCTAGATGAGAAGAACATAGTGTTGGGAACTTATCATTGAATAATATAATAGAAATACTTAAAAGCAGCAATAGGGCGAACATAACATACGTACCCACGTCCCATATACATAGATGCACCTGACGCCTAGGTTTTGAAAGGTCCAGGCAAAGAAAAAAGACCTAAACCTCAGCCTCAAGCCTGGGAAGGTTATTCCACAGTTGGGATGCTACAGCAAGGAAGACATTATTTCTTGCCATCATCCATCTCATCTCAGAAAATAAAGGAACGGGAAGAAGATTTCTAGGGTTGATCTTAACATTTTGGCAACTTACCGCAGATGGAAACGGAATGTCCAATATTCCGGGCCCATGCTGTTTAGGACATTTGAAATTAAGAGCCAGCACTCCACATTGTGCTTAGAATGAGAGGTGATGCGAGTAATAAATCCCAGTGACTATAAAATATAGCGGATTATTAATTGAAGCTTCTAAATACCTTCAAAGCAGTCTTGCCAAAATGTCATACTGATCCTGATCGTAAAACTGACTTTTAAAACCCTCTTACAGCTGGGGGTTCATACCTGTGATCCAGGTGCAGATGTGCTGTATTTGGAAAATAGACTGGGCCTGCTCCACGCCGGCCCTCTGACTGTGGAATGCTCTTGCCAGAACCATTTGTCTGGCATGCACTGTCAGTCGTTTCTGCATGGCAGGTTGAAGAGGAATCCAAAGATCTGGAAGACAAAAACAAACAAAAAATGAAGGGAAAATAAGGAAATCCATAGGAAAAGGAGTGTTTTGAGGTTTTCCTCCTGAGGTTTTGGGGCTTTTATTCCCCCTGAGCCGTCACATCTTTAGCTGGAAGCTATTTTAGTTGCCTGAACTTTTAGTGAGCTGTGACAGCTTCTGTTTTGATTTTTTTTCTACTGGGTTTTCTGTTTCTAAAATGACTACTTGTTTTGTTAAAAAGGATGTTTAAATGGTGAACTTTATGTTATGGATGGCAGGGCAAATGGAGGTACTTATAAAGAAGCCAGAGAGTCTTAATTTGAAGAGTGTTTTTCTCTTATGAGCAACCTCAGCTGTTAGCTAACATGCAGTTTCCATTTTGGCCTGCAATTTCAGTTCACATGTTTGTTCCCTCCCTGCCTTTCAGCTCAGTCATAACTCTGGGCCATTTACATGAAATATAAAATATAGAAAGACAATTTAACTAATACAGCATAAAAACTGTTACCCATAGAAGCATCCAATCTACTCAGCACCAGTATCTCCTTGGACCAGACAGTTTTCATCAAGTTGCAGAAATCTCGAAGATAGGGTGCCTGGTGACCTCTGGACAAGATGTTCCAGAGTGTGGGGGCCACCACCAAGGAGGACTCCTTTTGAGCCCATGCCACCTTGAGTTCTCGTAGGGATGGGCCATCTACATTCCCTACCTGCAGACATATATAGATGGGGCTGATTCCATCTGGAGGAGATGATCCCTGAGGCACCCTGGAGCTAAGCTAGGGAGGATTCCAAAGGTCAAAACCAGCGCTTTGAGTTGGACCCAGAAGCCTGTCAGCAAGCAGTGCAGCCTCAGCAGGATAACAAATGGCCTGAATAAAAATGGATTTGCACCTTGGTTCAGAGCTATCCAGCAGTGGGGGGAAAAATACCTTGGACATAGGCAACAGTATAAAAATTGATTAAATAATAAATATAAAAGAGTATTTGAACCATAGATCTCATGACGATATCATAAAGTCAGAAAACAGATCAGTGTAAGGCCATGAAATACTAAACTATAAAAAGGAAATCAACCAGCTATTTTTATAATCAGTAAATTCCAAAAGCTTGGGGGAACTAGCCAGGATTTATCTTGTTATTGAAACAAAACTCAGGTACTGTCCTGATTTCTGGAAGAAGGTCAGTCCGTAACCAGAGTGATTCACAGAGTGTCTCTCACACTCCTTAATGTTTTTTTTTTAAAGTAAGAATCTTCTAAGTACAACTTAGAGTGCTTTTGGTTGTAGAATAAGAACGGCACGTCTCAGATTCAAATGGGTAAATTAAACTTTCCTAACTCAGCAATGACCTGGACAGGGCAAGATCTACAATGTTTATCCATTTACATGCAAATATCACTGCTTTGTAGCATTTCATTATACTCTCAGTACTCTGTCTGTATACCTTGATTCTAATTTAGGGAGGGAGGGGCAGTGATTTAGCAACTGAAGCTAAGCATAACTAGTTCCTTGCTCTGAGAAAAATTAACATTTTTGTGTTATGGGCTAAGTTAATGCCTTGTGTTTAAGCCCACAATCCTCATGTGTATATTTACACCCCCCCCAAAAATCACAACTAAAATGGCTGAACTAGATATAAAAATTCAGTGTCAAAAAGTGATTGTAGAAACTATATGCATGGGCACATACTTGCTTAGACCACCTTTTTTCTCATTTTTGCTAATTACGTGGGATGGGCACAGGGCTTGGAAGATTCCGCTCACTACATCCTCCTAGGACTTCTCAGAATGTTGAATTTCATATTTGTTGAACTTTTCCCACTTGGGTGGGAAAAGGTTAATCCTAAAGAGCAGGTCTCCCAGAGTTCTGATTAGTAAGATTTATTACAAAGAAGCTTAAAGTAATCACACAAACGTTCTGGCAAATACTCTACTTTCAGATGAGAAACCCTTTTATAGGCAAAAGAAGGTGGCAAGGTCCTGGTTCTTTTTTCCATGCTCTTTTTAACTCTTTCTACTAGATTTCTGATCAGCGTGAGAATCAGCTCTCACACAATTCCTCTGATTTTTTTTTAATAAATGTTATTAAAAGTTTTAAAAAGAAGATAAAAGCTAATAAACACTAATACAGAATAAAGAAAACAGAAAAAGAGAGAAAAAGAAAAAATGCAAAAAAAAGAGAGAGAGAGAAATAGAAAGAAGAAGCTTCTGATTTCCTTTGCAACAAATACAAAGTTCTCTCTTACTCTATGGTTACCAGAAAAAGCTCATGTTTTTTCTGTTATCCAATTTTTTTCCTAATCATCAAAACCACAAATCATAAGTGCATTTTTTTCTGCTTCATGCAAAAAGTCTATAAAGGGTTTCCAGTGAGTCATAAATGTAGATGCTCTCTTTTCTCTAATCAAGGAAATCAATTTAGCCATCTCTGCAAGTTCCATCCTCTTCATCAACCATTCCTCTATTGTGGTAGCATTGAACCTTTCCACTTTTGAGCATATAGTAATCTTGCTGCAGTTGTCAACAATTCCTTTGATTTCGAAATAATTGGGCAGCCCTCTTCTTTGTAAATATAGGGACTAGAAATCTCTAAATAGGACATGATGTTCTCTTTGTGCTGTCCTCTTGGCCTACAAATGTGTAGGTGTTACAGGGTGTTACAGAGATGCTCTTGCTTGGCTCAAAGGTTTCCCTCTCATTTAATGCCCTTTGCTTTACTTCTTTGATCAGTGACTCCAGCCCCTTCTCCTCCTCTTGAGAACGAAGCTGGGGATGATTCTGATTTCTGGGAGCGAGTGTTGCATGGAGATGGGAAAGCAGCCCAGATGCCAGACCAGACAAAGGTAACCTCCTATCACCATATCTCAGCTTCAGTGATTTGACAGCCAGTGATGTTAAGGATGGATCCCTATCTCACAACTGGTCATGCTTCCTTTGGGATTGTGAAACGTTCTTTCTTTTTTCTTTTTGCTGTAGCAAGATGGTCTTGCCTTTATTTTGCACATCTTTCTCATGGCATCTGATTTGGTTTATGCTTGGTGATTTATTTTAATTTAATTTTGTATGCATTTGCATTCTGCCCCTTTAGAGTATTTTGTGATGATTGAATGTAGGTAAAATGAATAAATTCATTTTACTTTGTACTTACACCTACTGTAAACATAGTAAGAAGGCAGCTAAAATCAGTGTAAAAATCTTCCTGAAGCATTACATTTAAACAGCTGCTGAAACCAGCAGAGTCTAAAAATATCAGTACTATCAGCAACAGAAGTACAGGAAATTAAAAGGAGAACTGAAAGATTGTTGATGCTGAAAAAATAATAGAGCACGCATGGGCAAATGTCTCCAGGGAAATAGGAGTCGGTGGGCACAAATTTAATTATAACAAGCCTTCCTGACTAAAAGTCCTATAAAGTGCATTTAAAAATGTAAAACTTGCCACATTTCAAGGGAGGAGGAAATTCCATAATCTAGGTGCTGTAGAAAAAATTCCTTTTCGTTACTTAGTGATTTTTATTTTAAAAAAGAGAAGGCAAAAAATATAGCCTTTGGAGATTTTAAAAACCAGGTGGTTTCTGTGGTTAAAGATCATCCCGTAAGATGATCCTATTTAGGAAGAGCAACCTTACCTAAAGAAAAGTGCAAGTAAAGTAGAGATTCCTAGACTAGTAATAGTGCAGTTAGGAATTAGCCACTATGGCTGCACAGAACAGCCTCAACACATACCAAAAAAACACTATGTTGGGTTGAGTGCATCAGCTGGGATTGGAAGAATTACCCAGATCACAGATCCATCAGGCAGAATGAATGGCAAAGCTCAAAGATGTGACCCTCAGAAATCCCACCCTGTTCATCTCTGCAGCAGTGTTTTTTATACGCAGCCGTTCCTCTTTTCTCCTTTTTGCAGGAGGAAGAACCAGGCATGAAGACAGCAGACAGTCGCCTAGCAGGTAACTGACTGTAAGATCGAGAAGTGCTTTGTGGATGGATTTAGAGAGTACAATCTGAACAGATGCCATGGAAGTGAGATGACCCAAGAAAACGCTTGGGACTTCAGTGTACCCTCTCTGTTTCTCAGCAGGGACTGACAATAAGGCACCTTGAATGCGTTCCACTTGCAGTACTCATGTAACACATTTATGTTTTTAACTACCTCTAAGGGGGCTAACTGCCCACTCAGTAGTAACATTTAATCTTTTTTTCAGGTATTTTAAGTGTTAAAATAGTAAAATACAAAGGAAAAAGAAGTCTGCATTGGATGGTGGTAATAGTCAATGGAACAAATCAAAAAGAAGCAACTTAATTATTAAGCATAATTAAAAAACATTATGGGAAAACTTTCTAGTAACACATTCTCCACCGCCTTTCCATTTGTTTCCGCAACCGCTGACCAGAACTTAGACATTTATTTTTCTAACTGAACATTGAAGATTATTGCTAGTATCTGTTTAAGTCCTTTCATTTGATATTTTTATTGGGCTCATACTGTATTTCCTAAAAAACATATTCCAAATGCCTACATTTGCCCCGCTGTGTAATGTGTAAGGAGGGAGCCATTCTTGCTTAAATTTGGTTAGCCTGATATGTACTGTCCGTTTTGCCATGGCTGGGTATTCTCTCCTTTTGGTCTCCCAATCTGATATCATCGATAAGGTTCCTCTTTTCCAGTGTTGTGCCAAATTTGTTCTTGCAGCTGTCAGCATATATCTTAGTAAATAGTGGTTTTTCATTTATGTTTTCTGGGATTATGCCCAATAAAAATATTTGTGGTTTTGTTTAAAATGTTATTTTTAGGATTTGCTGAATATTTTGATTATTTCTTTGGAGGGGTTCTTTCACATAACCCCCACATATGATAAAATGTTCCTTCTTTGTTATTCCAGCATTGATCATTATACGATTTGTGTATCTTGGTAATTATTGGCAGAGCTACATACCATCTGTAAAAATTTACTCTTAATCTTTTATAAAAGTGAAAGAAACAACTTGCGCCAGTAAAAACTGGGACATGCTAGGCTTGGCTTTGATATACTGTAAAGCCATAGCATTTTGCACTCATGCTTCATTTTCCCAGCTCAAGGAAGAGAAGGGAAGTGTTTCCTTCACTTTTGAATTAACTGCATTTTGCTGCTATGCTCAGATAGAAGCGAACTGTGATTAGACTTGAATATGGCTTTTCCACTATGTACTTTGTTTTATCTACCATGATACGTGAGCCTCATCCCTTATAGATTAGTTGAGCAAACCATGGTTTAAAAATACCGGTTTAGTGTTATGGGTAAATGCAACCTTTCTGCATTTCTGTTTGGTGATAATGCTTTTGTCATTAAACCTAAGTTACTGAGAATGAAGTGAGAGCTTCCAGTCACTGTTTCACGGTTGGCTGGAGGAAGAATAAAGAGAAAGGCAACATATGAGCTCATGTCTCACTAGCGTGGTATTGAACTCTGTTTTATTATGGGAATAGGAAACCATGAGGCAAATGCAGCATGTAGCGTGTCAGTGAACAGGGCAATTGTACCACATTGCTCTGCACAAAGAAAGGGAACCTGTGGAGGCATCTGGTTAGCAGGTGCAAACTATGCTTGATGCAGTGAAGGAACCTTAATGAAGAGGAAGGCCTTCCGTCTGTCTTCAGACACAGAATAAATTACACAAATGGATACAAGCAAACTTGCATACAGTTGATACGGGGTACAGAATTGAACATTACTGGGTGCTGTACATATATTCTGGAGAAGGTTTCCTGCAAGCACCTGATCTCCAAATAAACTGAATTCATTTTGTCTGTATTTTTCCAGATTTTAAGAAGAAGATACATTTCAAAGTTATTCGAAACCCTGGTGACTTGGTTCAGTTTATTCAAGAGATGAAGGAGAATGCCAGGAAGGTAAGGCTTTTTAGTCGGACTTCCTAAACTGGCAGAGTTTACTACAAAGACGAGCATCTCTTTTGCCCATGTAGCTATACTGAGCAATCTCCCCCATCTTGGTGCCCTGCAGTTATTTTGGTTTTTGATTTCTAAAAGTCCCAGTCAGTATGGTGCTGGGTATCCATAGACTCACACCAATGCACAAAGAAAGGGAGAGGGGGAATTCAGAACATTTTGTAATTGGCCTTGCTTCCCCAAAGCAGCCAATTTGTATACCCAAGGTCCTTTCGGAATGTGCCCACCAACCCACAATGCCTGGAAGCCCTTTTTCTACCCTTTGCCTGCTTGTGGCTCTAAAAGCATTCTTCATTTTTTAACTTGAGCTGACAGTTGGACTGGGTGAATTGGCCAAATGCTCTCTTCCCCCATTGCAATTTCTGAACTCTGTCCCTTTAGGGCAAAGAGAAGGCTAGTGAATCTGATGTCACAGTGCATGAAAGCCCACCCCAAAGTAAAGCAGACTCAGAAACGGAACACTCTGAAGATGGAGCTCAGGAAGATGAGGAAGATGAAGAAGATCTACTAGGGAAATTTGAGAAGGAATTGGAAGATATTCTGCTGCCTAAGTCTGAAATGGCCAAGCTGAAGGAGGAGGTGAAAACCGAGATGGAGAAGGAGTTTGACAACATCATTGATGAGGTCAGGATCCATGGGAGTGGCTCCATTTCTCTGTCCAACCTTCTGACCTCCCCCTCCCAAAAGGGTGGTGGGGCCATTGCTAAGTATTCCCAATCTTTGATCTCTTCCTTGCATGCCCATTTCCTTCCATACAGGAGAAAATGAAGTCCTAGACTGGGTGGGGAAGAGGGCTTTGAGGAAAAGATTGGAGAGGAAGTGCAAAATGATTCTGTAAAGTAATGAATGAGCTCAAGATTGCCCAGTAAAATGCCCCCTTCGTATTGCAAGCTTCCCAGAGCCCTATATGCCCTGTAGATTGCCCGAGGGAGAATAGTAGGCCCCATTCTTTTGGTATCTGTTTGTTTGTTTGTTTCCCTCTACTACCCTTATAATTCTGGGGAAGAAGATCAGAGCCTACTCAGTTGAAGTTGGCTTATGGCATGGTTTTCAACCCTGATTGCAGAGGATTTTAAATATTGTGATGGGAACTGCACACGTAAGGCTGGGTTCCTCACTGCAGGCATTATCCCTTCAACATATTGGGGGTCTTGAAGCCAAGTGATGGGGTTGCAGCAGGAAGGGTAGCACAGAACACATTGTCCTTCTTGCACCAGAACACATTGTCCTCCCTCCTAAATATATGCATGGTGAAGATGTAATCACATTCCACATTTCTCCTTCTCCTACATTCTTGCCAACTTGTGATGCATTTTAAAAAGGGATGTGTATCATCACCGTGTCTAGAAACTTCATTTAAAAGTGCTTCATGAATCAAGTTTTGCACTGAATTGCCAAAAATTATAGAGCCTGCTGAACAAATTAGTCAGGCTTAACTCTGATACTTCTGAAGAACTCTGATCTAGTAATCCATTATTGCTGACCAACAGGTTGAGGATGAACTGGAAACAAAAGGCCTGAAAGGTGAGTTTGACCGAAAACAAGCCTCCAAGTCTTTGGCTTCTACCCTCAACAAACTCATTGACAAGTTGGATCCTGGCAAAGCCGCACATCAAGAAGATAAGGTGCAGAAGCAGGAGGAGGAAGAGGAAGAGGAGGAGGAGGAGGAGGAGGAGGAGGCAGTAGATGGAAGCAACACTGCTAAAGAAAATGCCCCTAAGCCAACCACTGGTATGATCCAAAAGCAACAAAATTAATGTTATCTTGAGTGTTGATAATTTGGATAATGTTTCCAAATCAGCCAGCAGGGGGCATTATTTGCCCTAAACTGTGCACGAAGTGATGTCTTCCTTGAGCTGATCAAAGATCAAGGCAAGGTAGCTAGCAGTTCTCCCAATAGTTTTATATCATCGACCATGGTATCCTGTTCAACCATCTCTGCTGGATTGGAGCTGGGGGACACTGTTTTGCAGTAGTTCTCCTTCCTGAGGGGTAGTTCCGGCTGGTGGGGGGAAGAAAGATCTGCCCAGAGATCTCTACTTTGTAGAGTGCCTCTGGGCTCTCTCCACTTCTTTTTAACACCTAATGAAACTACTGGAGGTGGTCATACATTTGCATGAGTCTAGTGTCATAGTATTCTGATATACCAGCTATACATCTTGGCCCTGGGCCAGGCAGGTAATGTGGTAGAGGTCCTGTCCCAGGGTCTGGAGGCTGTCAGGGTCTAGATGGAGACACAGATTCAGACTGCATCTCTTCAAGATGAAGGTTTTGGATTTATGGGCCAAAAGTTTCCAGGGAAATATCATCTTTGACTCTGAATGGAATAGCATTCCCCGTTCAGAGGTGATTCTGAGCTGCAGCCAGATGGGCTTTTGTACAGTTACAACATGTGTGCCAATTGCAACCGTTCCTGGATTGGGAGGACCTGCTCACATGCCTCAGTCACCTCCTGTGTGGATTACTGTGATGTACTTTAAATGGGGCTGCCCTGAGGAAGAATTCAGAAACTAGAGCTGGTACAAATGCGGTGGCCTGCATAGTGATGAGTGTATCCTGATACCCCATTGCTTCAGCAGCCATGTTGGTTGCCACTTGGCTTCTGGAGGTGATTCAATGTGCCACTTGTTATCTAAGTCCCTGCATGGCTCCACACCCAGTTCTCTGAGGGAATGCCTTCCTGCAAATTCATCTGCCTGTCCAGTCAGATTGAATAATGGTCAATTCCCTCCAGGTCCTCTCTGTAGGAGATTGTCATCTGATGGGGCCTCAGAAGCAGGCATTTTCACTTATCACCCCCACAGTCTGGAACTCCCTCCCCATGGAGATCTGGTCTGCTCCTTCCTTCCTGTGTTTCAGGAGAGCAATTAAGACCTAGCTGCTCCATCTAGCGCAGGAGAAGGGCATGTTGTGAGGGAAGGTTGGAATCTGGTGGGCTTTGTATATTTTCTGTTTATTATTTTAATGTTGCTCATTTTGTCTGTATCACGAACAGGCTTATTATTTCCCAACCATTAGTCTAGAATTGAGTAAGGGGAAGCACAATATTCGTGGGAGCCAAGATTCATGTAGATTGGGACACGCAGTTCCCAAGAAAGTATTCTATCAACTCCCTCAGAAATTGCGTTCTCTAAAGCACTGTTAATGGCTTGCTTCTTCTCTAAGATTCTAAGAGGAATAATTCTTGGCTTCAAAATGATTTTGACCTTTGTTTGTGATCAATGTTCCCAGCATTTGCCTTTTTTCAGAATGTTCTTCCATTTGGTTTTGGCTTGTCTGTGCATAAACGCTGCTATTTTTGCTTCCTTTCCCTAGCATTTTGTTCCTTCTAGTCAGGGAGAAGGCAGCTCAGGGAAACTTGGGTCACCCAGCTCAGTGCTCCTGTTCCTTTCTAGAACCTAGACAGCTACAGTCCTTGAGGACAAACAATGTATTTTTGCTTTTTTGAGCTGGGTTTTTCAAGGTGCTGTTGAATTTGCATTTGTCCAGAATCCCTACCTTCTCAACATCGAGGTCTGTATGACTTCTGAACTACCAGCTGAATGCAGCCCAGTAGGTATAACCTGCAGTCTTTCTAGCCTTAAAGAGCCAGGGCAGATTTTGGTATTCTCGGGCAGGCATCAGAACTAGGAGGTTTACTGAGACCTGAAGATATGGCAATGTATTACTAGCGGACTGCATTCAGTTGTATGGGTCAGAAGTGGCCAACCTTCTGGGACTTCTTGCCTTCCTTTTCCTCTGCTGTCCAGAAACCTTCTGCTTTTGCAAAAGTGCTGAAACGCTTTGAAGGCCTCAGTCTTCTGCTCAGACGCATTATGTAAATAATAATAATTTATTAAGGCAATGTAACTGAATTGGCATATGGGAGTTTCCATCCATCCATTGCATTTGTATTTTGTAAGCTGCCCAGAGTCTACTGGAGTGAGTGGCTATACTATAATTACCTTATGAGCAGACTGTACACAAACCTTGCAGTTTGCACTTTACTTCCCTGTCAGAAATGCTGGCATACTGATGTGCCTCTGTCCCCCTTTTTATCTCAGATGGCGACCCAGACGGGCGCGTGAAAGTCAGGGTCACTAAAGTAAAGCCAGGTAGCGCTCAGCAGAAGGAGCTGCGAATCCAAGAGATGAGCAGGGACAACCCACAGCTGCGCCACATAGAGAGTGTGGTTAAGGACCTCTTGGAGAAGGAAGGCCTGAAGGCAGAAGGTAATGCAGTCATGCTCCCTGGGCAGGGGGTGATGATAGGAGATTACGTTTAGGCTGGGGTGTAAGATGCTTTCTCAGGGGGCTGTTCTAGGATAGAGCAGTCAAGGACACAAGGCTGCCAGAGGTCCAGAATTGCAAGCTGCATGACGTCAAGGGCATCTGGATGCTGAGCTGATAACCTCAATATGCTGATTGTTAATTTCTTTTCTAGGAAGGTTTCTCAGGCCAAAATTGCCCCCATTTTTTATGTAATGAGATTGGTTGGGAGAGCCTTTTATTGACTGGTACAGTGAATATTTTTAGCTCCTTGTACCATCTCTCTTCCTATGTACAAACAGTCCCAAGTTCTATCCTCGCTTTTCAGATCCCATGATTGTAGGTACTAGTGCTAGAGAAAGCCTCTGCTCTGAAGTTGCCTGTAGAGGAGAACTGCTGGTGACAGCATCTCATTAAAAATATTAAAAGAACACAGTAGACACTGTGCCATAGTTAACTATACACACTCAGTACCTATGAACACCCAAGACCTGCAATTCATACAGATGTTATTTTGGGAGGTCTTTTTTGGTAAACAATGTTTTTGAAAGAGTGGCCTCTGTTGTTTTTGACAACATTACTATAATAATTTCAGTCCTCTTTTAAAGAGAGAAAAGAAACTTCACCCAAGATATGTAGAGTCTTGCTATTCACCAAGGGAGAAGTAATGAAATGAGCAGCATAAGATATATTTTTTTTTTGTCTGCGCTCAGTCATTGCTGACCCTGCAGTGACTGCTTGGACAAGTCCTTGCAGTTTTCAAGG